TGGTGCCTTACAAGCTGAGGCTGCTGTGCTGCCTCTTTCCCCACCTGAAAAAGCCATCCCTTCCTTCTGACCTCATCCCAACCGTTGCCACAACAACCCCGGGCGACGTCACCGGCGGCCGAGGACGAGGGCTTCAGGTGGGGAAGGAGCGGCGAGAGGAGCCGAGGCGTTCACACTGCAGAAGGAGCTCGGCTGGAGCCAGAAAGGAAACGAAGGGAGATGGAGGGAGAGGGAGAACACAGCAATGGTCCAGCCTGCAGGCGGTGGAGGGCTTCCAGCTGGTCGGTCTGGCCAGGGCCACTCCAGGGGCACCCCAGCGCCCTGCGGCCCCTGGCTTTGGGCTTCGGAGTGGGGACAGCCCCAAGGCCATCACCATCTCCTCCTGGTGCCTCAACATCGCTCATCCCCAGGAAAGGCTTTGAGCTCAGGTGAGCGTCCACATGGATCAGAGACTGGGTTGATTCCTCCTCACTTCAGCATCAAGCCCATTTTCTGCTTTATTGAAGTTTTTTCCAAGAAAGCCTTCCATAGAAAATTCCCTGGGACTTGAGAAGCAACTTGCCAATCACATTCGTGGAGAAATTAGAGACCTGTTTCCATCCCTGCATTCAAAGGATGATAGTGGAGAAGTTACAGGTCTGTTGAGAGAGATTTGTGTGTCCAAACACATCCAGCTTGACAAGAAACCAACCAAAATACATAAATAAATCAAATGGCAGCCTTAAAACCTTTTCCCTGAGCAGTCCAAGGATGAAGCGGCCTCATCCTGCCAAGGGAGCGCGGCACGCACGTCTCGGCCACTCTGGACCGCAGGTCGCTGAGGTGGCTTCGATCCGGACACCTGTCCCTGCTGCAGCAAGGATGCCTGGAGGGTGCTTAAACCCCACCTGGGGGAGAGGAGCTCCTGGACCGTGGTGCACCGCCCGGCCTGGAGGGACGTTTGCGACCCAGCCCTCTTAGAAAGCTGCTTTTGCAGCCTCTGGTTTTCAGCCCCAGTTGCCACCCAGCGCTGATGCTCCCGCAGCGCGCCCTCGGCACCGCAGGCAGGCGTGCCGGCCGGGAGAGACGCCCAGCACCCGTAACTGCAAAGAGCCACATTTCACGTGCCGGCTGTTCCCGCGCCCCCA